CCGATCAGGATGAAACTGCACCTCCTGGAGCTCGAGTACAAGCTCACGACATTCCGCGTCGTGTACGCGAGCGACCTCCAGCGCTTAGACGCCAAGATGGAAACCACGATTGACCAGATGATCAGCATGTGGCTGGCTACGAACCTCGTGGACGAGGTATACTTCTACAGGGCAAAGGACCTGGACAAGCCAAACATGATGCTGGACGGGCTACCCTACCGCGAGAAGCGCACCAGGCTGCACGGGAGCCGCTACCTCCCGTCGTCGATGGTCCGCGAGTCGGTGAGGTCGCTGAGGCAGAAACTGCTGGTGATCCGCGGCATCGACGACGTGCTGGACCCCGGGACCCAGGCATACCCCGAGGACAACCAGCGCAACGAGAAGCGGCGGCGCAGCGTCGAGGACACGCTGGCGCGGCTGACGGACAGGCTGCACAAGGAGCAGAACAGCTACCTGCTCTTCATAGGGGGCAAGGACGCTCAGTGGTGGCGGGGGCACTTGGAGCATCTGGACGGGCAGTGGTGGCTTCACATGCCGTGGAACATCACGGTGCACAGCCGGTACAACCGGGACATCATGGTGCCCGGCGACGGCGGCAGGCGGTCGTTGACACCTTCGCCTCTGGGGAGGAGTCGCTGGTGATGGGATGGGGTGTCTTGTGTGCATGTCGCGTGATGCTGCACACACACACACTCAATCAATACACAACCAATACACAACCAATATCCATGTGCGGCCCTTTTCGTATTCTGGAAGGGAGGGCTGCAAGGGAACTGTAACCTACATAGCAAGGCATACACTAAGCGGAGTCAGTTCTTGTTTTGTCGTTTCTTTGTTGGTCGGGATCTATACGCGGGTCAAGATAACTGGGTTCTGGAATTACATTATCTGTGGTGTACCGAGGCGAAGGAGCATGAGGAGCGCATTGTTTAGCAGCATTGGAGGCTTCTACGTCCCCGTTCATGTATTACTTAGGTAGAGACAGGCACCCATTGAGGGTACTGTACACTGGAAATAAAAGCAGCCAATCAAGAAGCATCAAGATAAAGTATTAGGTAGTCAATGGGCTCAGCCAAGCCCCGGGTCGAGTGCGATGCAACAGCTGGTTGGTGCCCTCCATTTTTTCTAGAAGGGGGTAATCCTTGGCTGCTGTGTGGCCACAGTGGCTGATCACTGTCAAGGTGAAGCGATGTGGCCGGACGTTGCGCAATCTCGTCGTCAACGTCAATACAATGGGTACTAAGGCAGCCTGGACCGCGGCTGTGGCTACGAGCGGTATTGGCTGGCTCTTCGGGAGAGGCGGTACGATAGTCAGGACGGGCTTCGGGTTTTTAGGAGGCAGGGAAACCGAGGCCGAGATGGAGCCTGTGTGACATACCGAAGAGGGGGAGAAGACTACTAAGCCCTGTGGAAGGTGATGGATGGATGGATCGGTGATCTGGGTGTGGGCGAGCCTCGTACAGCACAGCGCTCGGGAAGCGAGCTCTCGTAAACTCGCGTTGAATGAGCGCACGGTTCGTCACTGGATTAGTACCTGCAGACAACCTTGAAGGTACGCGTAAGTGAATTGGTGTATCAGGTAGTTGGGATTGATGAGACTGCCCAGAGGTTCGGACACGGATTCATGCAGCTGCCCTACGCCATCCAATCCCTATCGCATAAGGCATGCTCTGGATGGCCCGGGGCGTCGCTAGTGGCTGGCCCCCCGTAATTATAGGCCTGTCGCGCCCACTTATCGCCCCCCAGGCCGGCCAGTTGAAATCATGGCCCCCTGATGGTTCTGCTGCAGCCCTGGAAACAGTGACGTAGAGCGCCGCATCTCGCCTCAACCGTCTTTTTTTCGACGTTGAATGTAGGTGGCCTTTGGTCAGAATCTCCGGCTGCGACGGGACTTGTTTGAGAAGGCCTTTCCAGAACTGTCCCCGATTCTCCATCTTACAAAACCAGACTGGCCTTGGACTGTCGCTCCTTTGGTCTGACCCATCTCTGCACGCCTCCTTTTGGCCTCCAACTCCCCATTCACGTCGACATACAGCCGCACTACCACTCATCCACATCGTCGACGACGCCGCCGCCCGCACGCTTAACTCAACTTGACCTGAGACGGTGCCTTAGCCACTGGTTGGCCGAAGCTCTCCATCAGCTTTCCTCTCTCCCCACCACCACCAATTGACTTCCGGACCTGCATGTTTCTGTTTCCATCACATAGCATCCAGAGCGCACGTCGCATCGAATAGACCGTCCAGAGGCCAGGCTCCTCACCAACTCGCCCGTCCCTTCGCACTCCCATATCGCCGTTGTCGTCGTCGCCTGGGCTGGTCTCGGCTCATCTCCCCCTCCAGCAACCATGGGCTCCGCCGCAGAAACGACGAGCTCCTCCCAGAACAATCACAATGACGACCACGTCCTACGCCCCCGTCCGCGCAAACCGCAACATGCCCAGGTCAGAGACCTGGCGTGGATGGCGTCAAACGAGGGGCAGGAGGGGAAGCCTGCCCACCTCGCGCCCTCTGATCACGATACCCTGAGCGGTCGCTCTAGGTAGGAAGAAGACCCCAGCTTGCTGTGATTTTGAAAATGCTGACAACTCCTTTCCTACCAGTGGTCGATCGACGCCGGTACCAGAGAATGCGCCCCCGTCCGAGAAACACCTCTCATCTGCGCGGAAGCAGGCTCGCGCCGAGCAGCGCAGGCGTATCTTCCCTACCATTGAATACGCGAGCCGAGTGTCCCATTTCGACCCCGAGTCCGACTACCGCGACTTCCATGGCTTCTTCAACCTGTTCTGGATCGGCCTGGCCATCATGGGCATCACCACCATGCTGCGAAACACGAAGGATACTGGCTTTCCCTTGCGCACGTCCATCTGGACGCTGTTCACGGTGAAGCTTTGGCATCTGGCCATCGTCGACCTCCTCATGGTTGCCAGCACCATGGTCAGCATCCCCATCCACCTTCTGGCTAGATGGACTAGCGTCAACAGTATATGGACTTGGAGGAGAGGGGGTGTCGTGTTGCAGAGCATTTACCAGATCCTCTGGTTCGGTCTCTGGGTCGCCACCCCTTTCCTGTTAGAGTGGACATGGACGGCGCAGGTCTTCCTGCTGCTGCACACAATGGTCCTCCTCATGAAGATGCATTCGTACGCCTTTTACATGGGCCATCTCTCTGAGACCGAGAAGCGATTGCGGGGACTGGACAGCCCCTCCACGGCAGACCGTCGCCCAGCGTACCTGTACCCCAGTGCTGAGAACCCCGAGGGCGTGCTCCTGGTCAAGGGCACCAAGGCTAAGAATCCGAAGAACCGCCAACCAGAGGACACGGACGAGAGTGCAGACGAGGTACAAGCCTTGCGCGAGGACCTTGCCCGCGAGCTCACATCCCCCATGGGCAGCGTCACCTACCCACGGAATGTCACACTCACCAACTACTTCGACTATCTCCTGTGTCCCACTCTCTGCTACGAACTTGAGTATCCGCGAACCGCCCATATCAACTGGACCTCGCTCATCTCCAAGATCATCGCCACTTTTGGCTGCATCTTCTTACTCACGATAACTTCGGAGGAGTTCATTCTGCCTATCCTTGATGATGCCTCTACCCGTCTCGAGGCTGCGACATCCGCGACGGATGGGATCCTGATCTTCCTTGAGTCCATCTCCTGGCTTCTGTTCCCCTTCACCCTCACCTTCCTCCTCGTCTTCCTTGTCATCTTCGAGTACGTCCTGGGCGCCTTTGCCGAGATCACCCGGTTCGGCGATCGTCACTTCTACTCCGACTGGTGGAACTCGACCGACTGGATGGAGTTTTCTCGTGAATGGAACGTCCCGGTCTACTCCTTCCTCCGCCGCCACGTCTACTCCGCCGCCAGCCCTCACATCGGGAGGTCATACGCCACCCTCATCACCTTCCTCATCTCCGCCATCGGCCATGAGATCGTCATGGCATGCATCACCAAGAAGATCCGCGGCTACGGCTTCTTCTGCCAGATGCTGCAGCTGCCCGTCTTCATGATGCAGCGCACCCGCTGGGTCCGCGGCCGCAAGACACTCAACAACGTCTTCTTCTGGTGCTCCATGATCCTCGGGCTCAGCCTGGTATGTTTGATCCCCCCCCTTTTTCTTCGTCTGCCTGCTCTCATCATACTGACCTTTGCCAGATATGCGCTCTCTACGTCCTCATCTAACCAGTCCAACCATTCCCCTTGGATAACCCAAACCACACTCACATTCCTTTTCTCTTTTTTTACATTTTCCCCATCTCATGTTGATTTCAAGCTCGCCGCGCGCCAATATAGACATTATACCACCCACATCAACCGTGGGAAACCAGTAACCAGCTCTTTCTCCTTACGTCTATTCCTTTTTTCCCCCTATTTTATCTAGCTGCTACGAAATGGATACCCTTTTCTCTTCAGAGTAAAAAGACTCATCGCAAATTCTGCTGCTGCTGCTGCTTACCGCGAGGGCTTTTCTTCTCCTGTACCTATCTCCTCATCTTTGGCGACGGGGCGTTCAAATTGGTGTTGTTTTGGGAGGCAGCCCTCGAGGCTACTTGTTTCGCTAAGGCCCAGGTCCTTTAGTTTATTTGATACTCATGCCAATTCAGCCTTCAGTGACGTATATATTGTATACTATATGCATGTATTGGAATTACTATTTCTGCTGAAGCTATACAAATTTGTTCTTCTGGTTATGTGTGGGATTGATACTTTCTAATCCTTAATCCAGTCTACTATGTGTATACACGCACTTATACAGGCAAGAACTTTTTGTCACATTCAAAAGGATCCAGAGGTTTGATGTAGACAGCATAAGTCATTCTATGCTATTTCCATTTATCGCCTTCTACTTCATCTACTTGGTGATGAGCTAGCTAGAGTACACCCCGCAACCGGCCATTCATTGATGGCGTGGGGTCGTGGGATTATGTTTCACACCTAAATCCGTGTGGTGGTTGTCATTACAAAAAAACGCAAAACCTAGGAGACGTCCAATACCATGAGCACATTAAAACCAACCCTACCAAACTCCTCAGAACTTTTCAGGTCTCATAACCTTCTGGGCTTGAGCCGTTTAGTCGACCTCCTCCATGGCGCTGTCGCCGGTGGCAGCAGCGGGGGTCTCGGTGGCGGCCTCAACCTCAGGAGCGGCATCGTCCTCCTCAATGTTCAGACCGAGCTGGACGAGCTTGTGGATGCGCTCAGCGAAGCCTGAGGGCTCGTCAATGGTGAAGCCAGAGACAAGGAGAGAGGTCTCGAAGAGAAGCTGGACGATGGACTTGACAGTGCGGTCGTTCTCACCGTCGGACTCAACCTTCTTCTTGAGCTCCTGGATGATGGAAGACTTGGGAGAGATCTCGAAGGTCTTCTTGGAGGACATGTAGCTGGACATGGAGGTGTCACGGAGGGCCTGGGCCTTCATGATACGCTCCATGTTGGCGGACCAACCGAACTGGCCGGTACGGATGGCGCAAGGGGAGCCGCCGAGCTTGTCGGAGACGACGACCTTCTCGACCTTCTCGCCGAGGACGTTCTTGAGGCTCTTAGCGAGGGCCTCGTACTCCTTCTCCTCGGCCTCACGGGCCTTCTTCTCATCATCGGTCTCCTCGAGCTCGAAGTCCTTGGTGATATCAACAAGCTTCTTGCCCTCGAACTCCTTGAGCTGGGTCATGGCGTACTCGTCAATGGGGTCAACAAGGAACAGAACCTCGAAGCCCTTGTTCTTGAGGGTGTCAAGGAAGGGGGACTTGACGACGGCCTTGATGGACTCGCCAGTGATGTAGTACATGTTGTTCTGGTGCTCGGGCATGCGAGTGACGTAGTCCTGGAGGGAGGTGAGCTCATCGCCAGACTTGGTGGAGTTGAAGCGGAGGAGCTTAGCCAGGATCTGGCGGTTCTGGGTGTCCTCGTGGATACCGAGCTTCAGGTTCTTGGAGAAGGCGCTGTAGAACTTGTCGAACTGCTCCTTGTCCTCAGCGATCTCCTGGAAGAGCTCAAGAGACTTCTTGACGATGTTCTTCTTGATGACCTTCATGATCTTGTTCTGCTGGAGAGTCTCACGGGACAGGTTGAGGGGGAGATCCTCAGAGTCGACAACACCCTTGACGAAGCCGAGCCACTCAGGGATGAGGTCAGTAGCGTCATCAGTGATGAAGACACGGCGGACGTAGAGCTTGATGTTGTTCTTGGTCTTCTTGGTCTCGAACAGGTCGAAGGGAGCACGCTTGGGCACGAAGAGGATGGCACGGAACTCGAGCTGACCCTCAACGGAGAAGTGCTTGACAGCGAGGTGGTCCTCCCAGTCGTTGGAGAGAGACTTGTAGAAGGAGGCGTACTCCTCCTGGGTGATGTCCTGGGGGTTGCGAGTCCAGATGGGCTTCTGCTTGTTGAGCTCCTCCTCCTCGATCTTGGTCTCCTTGATCTTCTTGGTCTTGGGCTTCTTCTCCTTCTCCTCTTCCTCGTCGTCGACCTCCTCGACGCGGGGCTTCTTCTCGTCACCCTCCTCGGTGACCTCCTCGACCTCAGCATCCTCGTCGGGGACCTCGGTCTCGGTCTCCTTCTTGACGTGGAGGTAGATGGGGTAGGAGATGAACTCGGAGTGCTTCTTGATGACCTCCTTGATCTTGGCCTCCTTCAGGTAGTCGAGCTGCTCCTCCTTGAGGTGGAGGATGATGGCAGTACCACGGCCGAGGGGCTCACCCTCAGTGTCGGCGGTGATGTTGAAGGTACCACCGGCGCTGGACTCCCAGATGTACTGGTCGTCATCGTTGTGCTTGGAGATGACGCGAACCTGGTCGGCAACGAGGTAGGCAGAGTAGAAACCAACACCGAACTGTCCAATCATGGAGACATCAGCGCCAGCAGTCAGGGCCTCCATGAACTGCTTGGTGCCGGAACGGGCAATGGTACCAAGGTTGTTGACGAGGTCCTGTGATATACTTGTTAGCTGCTGCGATAGACTTGCATAGGCCATCCAGAATGGGTCCGACTTACAGCCTTGGTCATACCAATACCGGTATCACGGATGGTGAGGGTCTTGTTCTCAAGGTCGGGGATGATGTCAATGCGGAGGTCCTTGCCAGACTCGAGCTGGGTGGGGTCGCTCAGAGCCTTGTAGCGGATCTTGTCCAGAGCATCAGAGGCATTGGAAACAAGTTCTCGAAGGAAGATTTCCTTGTTGGAGTAGACGGTGTTGATGATCAGGGAGAGAAGCTGAGAGATCTCAGCCTGGAACTCGAAAGTCTCAGCCATTGTGACGGGTATCAAAAAGGAATCGCAAAGTCTGGTTGCTGAGTTAGCTTGGTTTTGCTCGCGTGCACAAGAGGTGGTGAGAAGAGAAGAAAAAGTTGGGGACTGGAGGGGACGAGGCTGAGGATTTGTCGTTTGGGGCAGGCGGTGTACACAAGTGTGCAGCGAGAGCAAGCTTACCTTGGTCGTTAAAAAGGTGGAGGGGGAATTAAAACAAGCTCACACAAGAGCAGATGGGAGGATGATGGAGATCCTGTGTGTGGAGGGAGGAGAAAAAAAAAGTGAGGATGAGGATGAGGAGAGAAGGAAGAGAGTCGAGAGAGCTGGATGGGAAAATAAGTACTTGTAGGAAGCGAAGGGCCCCTCGACTCGAGATTCCATCAGATTCTACGGCAGAAAAGGACCCCTCCACGCACGTTCTAGTAGCACCGCCTATTCTCCCCAGCAACAACCCGCCTAAGCGCACTGCCTCTACGGTGCGGTTGCCTGCCGGAGCCCAGCGCTGATTGGCCGTAGAGTTCTAGAGCCTTCCACCGCCTGAAAGAGACCCTGTTGTTCTTGACAATTGTAGCTTTCAGACGCATCATTTTTCGGGTGCCTCGAAAACCCCACCTCCTCCAGACTTTTCTTTTAGTCGGCGCAATAAAGACGTTGCCAGTCCCCGTAGCCAAGGGCATTTTGAGCCAGACTCCAGCCCCTAGACCTCGTTGCCGTCCCATGAAAGGCTTGGGCTGTAGAATCTTCGCGAACCTGCCCGCCGTGATCCTCTTCACCCCTCTATTGTTGAAACGGTTGCTACGCCCGCCACACCCCTGCACAGCGAACCCGCCCTGCTACCTACTCAGACCGAGGAGGGGCCTGTACCCACGCATGGACCTTGTTGGCAAGGCTGAGGAACGTCTGCCAACGAATCAATGAGGCGACTCATGCAGGCTTTCCCACCACCAAATCCGCCCACATCGTGATCGTGGCCTACCCCCTCTTGGCCCCCTAGGCCGCTGACGAGGCTTCCGGCATTTTTTATTCTCGGGGGCGAACCAGGCCGAAAATGATAGGCGGCTCTGGTCCCTAGAACATGCTTGCATTCGTGCCCAAGGGACCACACTTCCCAATTGGGGCCGTCCTCCAGGCTAATCTGTGGGCTAACACAAATGCTGTGCCCAGCCGCTGGCGTCTAGTGAGACGGCATTGAAAGCCAACCATCTGCCTAACGGCTAGCCACCAGCCACGTAGTTTGCCCTTATACGTCTCCCTTTCTTGCCGATTCTTCTTTGTTTGCCCTTTGCCAGCCGATTGGTTTGATTAGGAGGGGGCAGAGATTTGGAAGTGGTCGGGGTGTGTGACACTAACACGACAAAGTCTGCCAGAGTTTCCAGCAGCACTTTGTTAGCCGCCCAGTTTGCCCGTCTTGATTCACCCTGCGTTCTCGGACCTTTGTGAGCGGCAACTGCGTGGTTCTATTGTCGACCAAACATCTCTATCCTTGTACACACATGATATAATACACTGTTGTTACAGTCTAATTCTAGTAAAACCCCTACACATCACCGCCAGAGCCTAGAAAGCACAGTCCTCAGTGCCGGGCAATCACCTCGCCAGCCCCTCTAAAACTCCGATCCGAATATGATAGCCCAAACTCCTTGTCCTCAATCCCCGGGACCGTCCCCACAACCTCCGCAACCACGACAATGTGGTCTCTGACACGGATCAGCCCCCCGTTTGGCGCGGCGTCGCCTGCCAGCCGGCACCGTAGCACGTACAGGATGCCATCCCCCACAAGCACGGGGGCCGAGCTGCTGCCTGCCCCTTGCCCTTGCTTGGATGCCGCGCTCTGTAGACTCTGGAAGACGCTTGGGTCCGTGTTGCCTCGTGTGAAGTTCTCCGCTACCGCCGCCCCGTTCCTGTCCCCGGCCAGGATGTGTATGTTGAACTCTCCGCTTTCCGTGATGGCGTCCAGCGTACGACTCGGCGCCAGGACGTTGAAGGTGATTAGGGGCGTAGGAGTTAGCGTTAGGGATGTGAAGGAGGACATGGTCATGCCTCGAGGGTGGGTGCCGTCGTGCGCAGTGCAGACCACCACGGGATGTGTAAGGAGACGCATTATGGAGCGAAGCTGTTCGGGTAGAGGATCGGAAGTAGAGACGGCCGCCGTCGGAGTGGGAGGCTTATTAGAATACACCGTTGACGAGCTGTGGAATGGTCGTATGGGGGAAACTGTTGCTCCATGGTCAGTCGTTGATGGGGAGGAAGCTCAGGTTCAAGATTACTCACAGCTCCTGGGCGCCCTTAAGGATCCAGCGCAGGGTCTCGAAATATGCCCATCCGTAATATCAGATTGCCATCGTACATCCTTCGTCTTGGATCTCAAGACCCCGTCTAAACCTGTCGTCGCATCGCTGAATCTGGAAGCCGACCGTCTCCAAGCTCGCAGGGGCGCTTCTCGCATCGCCGAGCAACACTGCATTATCTCATGTCCTGGGGACCGCAACTGTTCTGCATTCGGACGCAGAACAGCCTTCCAATTGCGAAAACCGAACCTAGAATCGCAGATATTGAGGGCTCTGGTGATCCGAATAGCCGCATTCTGCTCGAATTCGTCGACGCCGAGCTAGGAAGAATATTCTTATCGATAAGCCCACCCAATGGCCGCGCCCCAATTCTTTTCAATATGGGTCCGACCATCTCGTAGGTTCAGGTTTGAGCATTTGGCCGTCTGATTATACGAAATTCAATCCCGGCGCAAAGCAGCACTCTACCCAGACGAGCGCCGACCTCTCGAACCCTCCAATCCAATCCGTCACCCCCAGGAATCCTCAGACCTCTCAGCCAACAATGGGGAAGATCCCCTCCCCGCTGGCCCTCACGCCAACCCTCCGCACAACCACTCTCCGCCCGCCCTCCTCCTCCTACTCCTGCCTGCAGAACCAGGTCCGCCACGCCACATTCATCCAGCGCCCCCGCCGCCCGTACACGTTCACCCAGCTCGTCCAGCTCTCCGACGGCTCCTCCTACATCGCCCGCACCACCTCCCCCCAGCCGCTCTACGTCGCCACAAAGGACACCCGCAACACCCTCACCTGGCAGCCCTCGGAGAAGTCGCTCAGGAACGTCGAGCTCGACGAGGCCGGCAAGCTGGCCGCCTTCCGCGGGAGGTTCGGCACCGCCTTCGACGGCAAGCAGGACGCCGAGGAGGACGCCGGCGAGCTCACCGAGGACACTTACGGCGACCTGATGGCTTCGTACGCCAACCAGGATACCAGCTCGTTGAAGGATGCTGCTCCTACTAAGAAGAAATAAAGGGTCAAAATTACGACGCGTTGGCTTCCTTGTATAATTTCGAGAAAGGAGGAGGGAGGGATAATCAGCTTGGCGGGATGAGTGTACAAGACATGGATTCGAGAAGAATTGGTCTGGAGTTTTTTCTACAGATTGGGGAATAGACAGTCGAGCGGGAAGGATATTGACACAACATGTACAACATTTCAACAACAAAAGACTCCCTTGCTAGTGTATAAGAATTTTGACGAGAACAAAAAAATGACAAGCCTCTCCAAATCTTCATCGGGCGTGTGCCGTAGAGCAGCCCCGGCCTCACATCGTTTCATGGTATGAATGAACCTGGCCTTAATCCGAGTCCTCGTGAAGGCGTGCCCGGGCACGGTCAATGGCCGTGTCTCCTGGGGCCTTGTCCTGATTCGATTGGAAGACGGGAGGCTTGTAGAAGACGGAATCGTCGTCCTCGGCATCCAGCTGCATTAAGAACGTCTCCCACTTCTCGATCAACTGTCTCGTTTGTCAGTGCTGGTTCAATCAATGAGGGGCAAAACATTGGTAAGACTCACCTCCTTTTGCGCTTCTACTGCGCTTTCGAGGAACGTCTCCACACCGCTCTTGAAGTCTTCCACCTTCTCCTTCTCGAACCGATCCAGTTCCGCCCGCATTGACCGGCCCATGTCCTCGAAGAGCAGTCTCGCCTGGTGCACCTTGCGTTCCGCCTCGCCCACCTCGGCGCTGATCTGGTTCAACCGGTCCTGCTGACTCTTGCCCTGCCGGAGGAGCTTGTCCTGGTTCGCCTTCTTCTTCTGCAGCTCCGACTCGGCCGAGTGCCAGGCGTGGAATCCCTTCTGGCGCTGAGTGAAAGCCTGCTTGACCGAGCCAATGAGGCGGATGTACTCCTCGATGATGACGCCAAAGGTCAAAACGTCCTGCTGCGCCTGGCGGTCGTACACGTCGCGGATGGTGAGCTGCAGGTCAGAAAGAGCATCGAGGGGCCCGGACAGCGAGGGCGAGAGCTCGACCGTGGAGAGTGCATGCAGCGAGGCGGAGAAGTCACCGGCCGCCTCGGCCATCATCTTGCGTTGAGCGACCATGGACTCCATGGCCTTCAACAGGCCCTTGAGCTGGTTCTCGAGCGCATCAAGGTACACTTTGCGATCATGGAACCAGTCATCCTGCTCGACAAACTTGTTGCCGCCACCCACGTTGATACCGAACGAGCTGAAGACACTCTTGCTCTCGGTGGGGATGACGTCCCGCCTCTCCTTGTGCTTCACGTCGACATTGAACGACTCGCTCTCCAGGAACAGCTTCAGATCAGCATCGTGCTGCAGGGTTGGGTGCGCAGCAGTCTTGTTCAGCATTCTCTCCAGCGCCGCCCGACGGCTCTCGACAAAGTTGCTGTCGAAGCGGCCGACGGCCTGCTTCTCCGGAGGCGGCGGGATGACGAACCCGGGATTGTTAGCATGCAGCGTGTTGTAGAGCCACAGGAAGTCTCGGTAACGGCGCTTGACCTCGAATTCAGGCTGCCTGTAGGCTTTCGATGTGGTCTGTCAAGTAAAATCCCCTCTTGATTAGCTTGCGACTCTCCCCATTGCTCGGCTGGATCATGCGGTCTGTCCTTACCCTGGTCCGTACTGAGTAGACAATGTGTGAGCTTGTCAGGTCGCCGATCTTGACCGGGTCACCGACGTAGATTTGGAAGGTTGGCTTCGCTGCCTGCTCCACGCTGACGCTTGGCTGTGTCGAGCTCTGAACGGTGCTCGGCCTGGCGGCGTCGACGGGGGGTGGTGCTCTGGGACCCTTCTGCGCGGCGCTCAACTCCTCCTCCTCATCCTCAAATAGGCGATGCGGATCGGCGGGTCGCCCGGGCTGCTGCTGCTGCCGCTGCTGCTGCTGAGGCTGAGGCATGGTCGTCCGCATCACCAGTTGCTCTTTCTGTGGGGGCGCGGGCCGGTTTTCCTCGAGAGGAGCGCCATCGCCACCGGTTGAGGGAGCGGCGCCGAGAGGGCCGAGGGGATCATCTACAGCCTCGAGACGTGTAGGCTGGGCCACGAGGCGACGTGGACCGCGAGCAGGACGAGGGCTTGGGGCTGCTCCTGAGGCTGGCTGGGAGCTCGCAGGCGTGGTGGCAGCTGTCGAATCCGAGGTGGTGAGCTCGGGCTGGGTGCCGGGCTTGGAGCCCTGGCTTGTGTCAGCCCATGGTGATTCCTCAACATCCATTGCGAGAAATGTTGGAAGCGTGGGGATTGGATTGGGTCGTTCGATCCGCAGCTGCCTGGGTGTTGCGAGAGCTCAACTTGGATGAGGTGAGAGGTAATGCGGCATGTGGCTCCGCGAACGTCAGTGCACCAGTCCAGTCAGCGGACGACGGCGGGTCAGTGGCTGATGTGGTCCAGTTCAGCGGTTCAATTGCGCAGCTTCCGTCCACCACCGCCCAGCCCCACCGTCCAGCAGCACAACGTGCGCCGAGCCAAACCACCCACCAGCTGCAGCCTGGAGCCCAGACGGGCAGCTTCCCCGGGCCTCGCTTACTTCGTTTGGGATCTGTGCTATGCCGGATGGAACGGTCTATATGGGCGCAGAGGCCGGTTGTGTCTTGATACCATTGATTTTATTCAATACATTGGTGTTCTTATTCCCCTGCCCTGTCTTGTTGCGTGTTGCTTGCACGAGCTAGCTGAATATCTAGGCTACCTAAGTATATATACGTAGGCTTCACTCACACGCGCTTGAAGACTATTCTCATAATAGACCATACCTAGGTTATTTTACTATGAAAACGCCAGATTAACCTGCCTCTTCAGGTCGCACTTGCTATCTCTGCCCTAAGATACTTATAAATTACACATGTGCCTCTCATAAAGCCGGCCGCTCGCCATAACTCCAGTTATGGCTGTTGGGTTTCAAGCATCTCGAAGTTTTTAACTAACGACAAGACTCCTCGCTCTAAAATCAAGCCTTGACTGGTTCCTCAAATTTGGCACAGCCCACGTCAGGGGACAGAAGACTCTTCCAGGTCCTAGGAACATCGATTGGCCCTGCTGTGTCCGGCCCCTAGCGCTCAGGATCATAGCAACCTCCAACGATGACCAAGTTCATCCGTGTAAACTTCACCCTCATCACCGGCGTCTTCTTGGTCGGGAATGAGCTGATCTGATCTGGCGTCACTTGAACCTCCTTACTCTTCTTCTTATGAGTGCCACTTGCTGGGGCGGCGCTTGCTGGCTGCGTCGTGGCTGGCCTGGCTGCATCCGCAGTGGCACCAGCGGCATCTGGCGCTGTGGTCCCGGCATCCAGTCCAACTTGCTGGGCGACCTTTTGAGGGTCTGCGGGGAGCTCAACATCCCACATGCGAACTGTTCCGTCCTGGCCTCCCGAGGCAAGCACATTTGACTCCATGCTAAAGCTCAGAGACCAGATACCACCCTTGCCGTGACCTCTTGAGCGCTTGATACGCGTGCCCTTCTCAATGTCCCAGAACATAATGTTGCCGGCGGCGTCAGCACTGGCAAGAATCTTGCCGTTTGGTGCACACTCAAGGGCGCTGATGTAGTCAACATGGCCACTGAGTACACGAACGCAGGATCCTGTCACCACTGACCACATGCGGATTGACTTGTCAGTCTCGTCGGATGCCGAGAATACGTACAGTCCGTTGGGATGCCAGGCTATGGCGGATATGGCGGTGTCATGGCCGACGAGGAGGCGCTGCGGCGAAGCATGGTCTTGCATCCAAACTCTAACTGCCTTGTCATAACCACCGCTCAAGAAGTAGTGGCCGTGGGGACCCCACGATGACCTATGGACGGGTCCGTCGTGTGATTTATAGAGGCAGAGACAAGTCCATGACTCGAGAGACCACAGCCGAAGATGGCCGTCCGCAGAACATGATAGGAGGAGCTTTGGGCGCGGGTCCATTGCGGAGTTCTTGGTGCCCTCGTCGCCGAAGAGCTTCTGAGGTGGTCCGGAGGCAGCATCAGAAAAAGACACATCATATACTGGGGCAGAATGCCCGATCAATTTGCGGCTGTTGAACTTCGAGTCCTTGTCATGGGGGCTAGAAGACGGCAAGGCTTTTCCGTCCAGCGACCACACGCGAATATAGGACTCAGTGGTACCTGCGGCTGCCATTGTTCCGTCATTTGAGAAGTCCATGGATGCAACCCTGCTTCATTGTTAATCATCGCAATCAAGGTATAGGTCCTCATGATACTTACGTCCCCAACGTGTTATGAAAAGTGAACATGCATGCACTGACTGGAACACCTGACCCCCCAGTACGACCTTCGATCTTGAACCGGTCTCTGTTCTCACGGAGCTTCGACATTTCGAGCAAGATGTCTCGAGGCCTTGACGGGGGTAGGGGAAGGTCGGCTCTGGTTGGGGCGTCGGCACTCTCTTCTCTCTTAATCTTTTGGTCTAGTTCTTCCAAGATCGAGCGCCCGGGCTGTGGAGGATGCCGGGCCTCCTCTTCCTCAATCTCGGCCCGGACATCCTCTTTTAGGTCAGCGTCCATTGGCAGGGGACCCAGGGTTAGGGGAGTTGTTGAGTCTAACACATCCCTATTTGCTAGGCCGATCTTGACTCCGGGAATACCCTCGTTGACATCAGCTGCGTCGAGCTCAATGTTTCTTGACTTGCGGTAGACTGCTTCAAAGCTGTAAGGAGTGATAGGCCCTCGGCTTGTGGAGTCGACCTCGCAATGCTCAACAAGCAACTGGCGAATGACTGGGCCACCCTTCTGCGATTCCCGCTCCATGAAGTTGAACAGATCACTAAGCGCATGTTCATTAAGCGGGATCCGGTATTTGTTCTCCTTGTAGAGCTTGGTAGTCGCATTGTCAGAGACATGCTGAGGCAAAGTGATACCGCCGAGTGTCTTTAGATCGTCGTCATGGGAGCGCCTGAAGTACTCGCCCAACTTGAGGAAAGCCTTGGACTCTTCCGTGTAGCCTTGAGTCACAAGCTCCATGAAAGAATAGACAAATACGGGCCATAATAACTTGGACAGCTCATAC